CTGATGCCTTGAAAACCCTTCCCGGTGAACATCAGTCGACAGCAACAAGAACAGATACAAATTAATATAGGTCAAGTGACAGTGCCATGGGTATTGCAGAAAGCTGGGAGCCTCCCTGATCTCCCTAGGCCAGCTGGTGGACGGGGGGGGGGCTCCAAGGAGACGGCCCATTTGGGGGGGCCCTGCAGGAGTCCTTCCTGCTGTTGCTGCTGCTGCTGCTGCTGCTGCAGGGATGAGCGAATCTGGCCGGGTGGAGCAGGAAGGGGAGGAAAGAGCCAGAGAGACAAGCAGAATTCCTGGCCGGGGAGGGGCTCCCCTGCATCATGGCACCATGCTGCTGCAGGGGATACAACTTAACAATGGCTTCCCGTCGAAAGGCGCCCCACAAAGCCGCCTTTCTCTCGCCCAGCAGGACCGAGAGGCTCATTCGACCCATGACTGACTAGCAGTGAGTAACCTGCCCGGGCCCGGCTGCAGGACTTTCCCCCCTCCCGTTGCAGACCTGCAACCCTCCCGAGTCTCATTTTCCTACCAAATAGTAGAGCTCCCCCATAAATAACTCCCCCCCGCTCCTTGCTCGGCCTCTCCAGCAACGCGGCTCGCTCAGTTCAGAAGAGGAGAGATTGGATTTATACCTCCCCCCCCCGCGTCCTCCAGAGCGGCTGACAAACCCCTTTCCCTTCCCCGCTCCACGGTAGACACCCCCTGCGAGGGAGGCGGGGCTGAGAGAGCTCTTTCCAGGACTGCTCTTGAGGGAACAGCTCTGACAGAACTGTGGCTTGCCCAGGGTCGTCCAGCCGCTGCGAGGGGAGGAGGAGTGGGGACTCATCAAACCGGTTCTCCCAGATCAGAGTCCGCGTGCACTTAACCACTGCACCAAACTCGTTCAATTGTTTCCGTGCTGCAGATCGCAGCGCCCCCCCGCAGAGTTCCTCGCCAGAGCCGCCCTGTCCAGCCTACGCGGGATGGACATTTCCTATTGTGTAGTGGGCTGCCGTGTAGACGAACGACAGACAACGACGTAGTGCATAGCATGCTTTATTAGTACACAGCAAAGACAGAGAGCAACGGCCGGCAGGCCAACTATATACACAACCAGGGAACACACCCCTGGGTCCCATTGGCGGGTTTGAATCTCCCGCCACGGTCCCATTGGTCCCCCAGTGGAGGGACTAGGATCCTAGTAGGGACTGTGTCCCTATTGTTATGCCGGACTGAAGCTCAGGAGTGTGCGCTTCCCTCTGGTGGCGGTCAGCGGACACAACATCTCCCCCCAAAAGGACAGGATGGCCGCATTTCTCTCCCCCAGCAGGACTCAGGGCCGGCTCACCCGCTAAGCGAACTAGGTGCTTGCCTAGGGTGCGCCGCTCCTCAAGGGCACCAAACTGCGCCCCCCAACCCCCCCACTGCCGCCCTAACCGGGTGCCTGCCCCTCTCGTGCCCTTAGCAACCCAGGAGTGCCCAGTAGAGGCGGCGGAAGGCTGGGAAAGCTTTTGCCGGGGAAGCCACAGGTGGCGCGTGGGGGCGTGGTGTGCCGGCGGCTGTGGCTCTGCACTTCAGAGCTGCGCAATCCTAGCACATGCGCACCAGGACGCAGCAGCAAACCTCACCGCCCGCCATCCGCTCGCCCTGCCTCCATGTCCTCCTCTCTCAGCAGTCGGGGAATCAGGAAAGGAAGGCCTTTCTCTCGCACGCGCCCGTACCCCCCCCTACGATCCTGCTTGCTCCTCGCCGCCACACCCTCTCCCATGCCGCCCCCCGCCCCCATGGCTTCTTTGCCCTGCAGAGAGGCTGCAGCGGGGGCGGGGGGAGACGGCGAGCGGCAGGGGCTAGGGGGGAGGTGGCCCGTGCGATCCTGCTCGCTCCTCGCCGCTACACCCTCTCCCACGCCACTGCCCCCCCCAGTGGCTTCTTCGCCCTGCAGTGAGGCTGTAGCAGGGAGGGGGGAGGCGGCGGTGGGAGGCGAGCAGCAGCAGCGGCAGCTGGGGAGGGGGGAGGCGAGCAGCAGCGGCCAGGGGGGAGGCGAGCGTCGGCTGGGTGATCCTCCTCCCAGCCTGGTTCTAGCGGAGAGGTCTCCATGCCCTGCCGGGAGGTTGGCATCTGCGCTTGCCTAGAGCGCAGGACAACCTCGGGCCGGCCCTGGTGCTCTGTCTAAGAACATCCTGAGAGGACCAGACCAGGGAGGGTCCATCTGGTCCAGCGTCCCCTCAATGGCCAGCCGGTTCCTCTGGAGGGGGGCCAAAAAGCAGGGCATGGAGGCTGAGGCCATCCCCTGAGGTTGCCTTCTGGCTCTGGGATTCAGAGGTTGACTGCCCCTGAAGGTGGAGGTTCCCCTCAGTCACCAGGGCTGCCTGGGAGCCACCGAGAGACTGATCCAGGAATCTCACTAACCCCCTGGCCGTCACTACAGCCTCTGGCAGCGAATCCCACCTTGGAACCACTCTCTGCGTAAAGAAGTCTTTCTAATCCCTCGAGGCCCGGGCAGGAGGGAAAGAAAGGGGCAGGAGGAAGAGGAGGCTGCCTGTGGGAAAGGGGGGGCCAGGAGCCTCCCTGAGGTCTGCCTTGGGGCTGGACGGCCAGCATTCGGCCAGCCTCCGCTCCCTGGCCTACTCCCCACTTGGGTTCGTCTGGGTGCAAAGCAACGCTCCCTCTAAGCTGTGGAGTCTTGTGAGCAAGAATTCTACTTTGCGAGCTCCTGGCATTCAAGTTGTGAGCGAGCGATTTGGATTGCTGCATCAATCAGTTTGCTCCGGAGCCCCTCCTTCCTGAGCTCAGACAAAAATGTGTGAGCTGGAGGCTCAAAAACTGTGAGCTGGCTCACACTCACTCAGCTTAGAGGGAACACTGGCGCAAAGTACACAAAAGGAGCCCAAGCGACAGACGGAGCGCCTTCTCTGTCCCTGCTTTCCCACCCCTTATGGAAGGCAGACAGACAGTCTCCAAGGGCAGGCCCAGAGCGCGGCCTCCCTGGCCTGGCCGCCTCCATTTGGCCCCCGGGTGCTCTGTAGCCAGAGGGAGGCCTGCCTCTCGCAGGAAAAGCCTCCGTTGCCTCCTCCTCCTCCTCCTCTGGAGGGCACAAAAAGAGCCCCACGGGAGGTGAGGGGGGACAGAAAAGGGGGCTCCCGGGAGACCGTGGGGCCGAAAGGCCAAATGGGGCTTTCTTAGGGTTGCCAACCTCCAGGTGGGGCCTGGAGACCCCCGCTATTGCAGCTGATGTCCAGACGACCAATATCAGCTCCCCTGGAGGAGAAAAGGCCGCTTTTAAGGGCGGATGGCGCCTGGCAGGAGGCCCTGGCAAGGAGGCCCCTCCCCCACTGAAACCCCGCCCTCCCCAGGCTCCATTCCCGAAATCTCCAGGTATCTCCCGACCCAGATCTGGCAACCCGACCCCTTCCCACCATAAAAAGAGAAAGAGGTTCGTTAAGAACATAAGAACATAAGAGATGCCAATGTTGGATCAGGCCAAAGGCCCATCCAGTCCAACACTCTGTATCCCACAGTGGCCAGAAATACCAGTGCCATCAGGAGGTCCACCAGTGGGGCCAGGACATTAGAAGCCCTCCCACTGTTGACCCCCCCCCAAGCACCAAGATGACAGAGCATCACTTGCCCCAGAGTCCCTATCTATACCTTGTGGCTAATAGCCACTGATGGACCTCTGCTCCATATGCTTATCTAATTCCCTTTTGAAGCCGTCCATGCTTGTAGCTGCCACCACTTCCTGTGGCAGTGAATTCCAAGTGTTAATCACTCTTTGGGTGAAGAAGTACTTCCTTTTATCCGTTCTAACCCGACCGCTCAGCAATTTCATGGAGTGCCCACGGGTTCTTGTATTGTGAGAAAGGGAGAAAAGTACCTCTTTCTCTACCTGCTCTTTCCCATGCATAATCTTATAAACCTCGATCATGTCACCCCTCAGTCGTCTTTTCTCCAAGCTAAAGAGCCCTAAGCGCTTTAACCTTTCCTCATAGGGAAAGTGTTCCAACCCTTTTATCATTCGAGTTGCTCTTTTCTGCACTTTTTCCAAAGCTATAATATCCTTTTTAAGGTGTGGTGACCAGAATTGCACACAGTATTCCAGATGAGGTCGCACCATTGATTTATATAGCGGCATTATGATATTGGCTGATCTGTTTACAATACCCTTCCTAATAATCCCCAGCATAGCATTGGCCTTCTTTATTGCAGTCACACACTGTCTCGACATTTTCAGTGAGTTATCTACTACAACTCCAAGATCTCTCTCTTGATCTGTCTCTGCCAGTTCAGACCCCATCAATGTGTATTTATATTTAGGATTTTTGGCTCCAATGTGCATCACCTTGCACTTGGCCACATTGAACCCCATTTGCCATGTTGACGCCCACTTGCCCATCTTTGACAGATCCCTTTGGAGTGCCTCACAATCCTCACTGGTTTTCACCACCCTGAACAACTTCGTATCATCCGCAAATTTAGCCACTTCACTGCTTACTCCCAACTCCAAATCATTAATGAACAAGTTAAAAAGCAGTGGACCAAGTACTGATCCCTGTGGTACCCCACTGCTTACACCCCTCCACTGGGAGAACTGCCCATTTATACTCACTCTCTGTTTTCTATTAATTAGCCAGTTTTTGATCCATAAAAGGACTTGTCCTTTTATCCCATGATTTTTTCCCCAAAGCCTGCTAAATACACCCCGGTCTCCCCAGCAGGCTGTCCACTTGGAGGCAGCAGAGGAGATGGGGGGGGGGGGACTTTGGGGGCAACTGGCTAGGGAGAAAGGAGAGGGTGGGGAGTCTGGGAGGGAGCTCTTCACACACACACACCCCTCTTCTCTGCCTTCTCTGCCTACCGCCGGCCAGAAAACCCCAATCTCCCGCAAGAGGAGCCCCGGCTGATCCTTCTACCCGGAGACTGATGACGCTCCGCCAGGCGGAAGTCTCATTGGTCGTCCTAGGAGCCTGGACCCCTCCGCAGACCTTCAGAGGCAAAACTCTCACCCCCGCCCCACGCAGTGACCGAAGTTTCCCCCGGGGGCTGGGTGGGGGTCTTCCGTGGTGGGGCAGCCATGGGGTCTGGCCTGATCCTGCCCGGGACTCTGGCGCTGATTGTGGCGCTTCTGGGTCCCTCCACGGTCCACGGAAGGGGAGGACGGATGGAGCCTCCACCTGGTAAGCGGAGCTCCTGGAAGGGGGGGAGGGGGAGATGGTGAAAGATTGGGAGGGGCGAGGGGGGGCCTTGGAGACTCATTTCCGTTATTATAATTTTGATTTATTTTATTTATATCCTGCGTCTCTTCCCGGGGGGGGGGGGGGGCCCCAACCAGC